TTTGATTATGTATACTTAAAAATATGTTTCATATAGACTTGTACGAGTCAATAAAAGTCACAAACTTTACTGCAAGCCCTAACACGCGTTAGAGGAGGAAGTAGCCTCGATCGCATATTTTCACGTATTACAAGTATGAAAAATAATCAGTTTATTATAACAGTCTCAATAGACTTAAGTGCTAGCAAAATTGCGACAAGAAATTCAATTGAGTTGTTTACGCTTTGCTATTTTTTGTGTGCAATATTTTGAAGGCTTCTGCAACTTCCCTTTTATTGAATTGCAAGTTATTATATATATTGTTCTGATATAACAAAGTTATTTAATGACCATGACCTTTCGGTGAAGGAAAACATTAATAAAACGAAATGTGTGAAGTCAGTCAGTGGGACGTGTAATAAGGATTAATAGAGATAGTGATAACAAAGTCACAGACCGCGTGGCCAATAAGTCTATGCGGTTTCTGCCACTAGCTAACTTCAAACAAAAAATAGTTATTTGTCTTGTAAGGCTGCAAAGTTGTTGCTTGAAAAAGATTGAATCATTGAAAAAAAAAAAAAACCAACCTCAAAAGTTTGATTATCGACTTTTTTCGATTTCCATGATCTCCTCATCAGATTTTGAGTTCTTAGTGGCAATGAGATTGTACTTTGTACATTTTATTTCATTTCATTTCATTTATTCATTGTATTCATATGATATATGTACAAGGTCTTAAAACTAAAAAAGTTCCACATATGAACCCAATTTATGGGGTAACAATAAGAGGTAGGCTGAGGCTTTATATTGGAAATGACTCGAAATTAGTCATAAGTATTAAAATTAGGTTATTAAAAATTATTCGTAGTTATTAAAATTAATCATACGTATTAAAAGTACCCATAGTTATTAAAATTGGTCATGATTTGTAAAAATTAGTCAAGATTAGTTAAAATTAGTCAAGATTTGTTAAAGTTAGTAAAGATTTATTATTTATTAGTCAAATTTAATTCAGTTATTATTTTTTGTTTGTCGTTAAAATATTCATTTAAATTATAATAACAGTTATGTATTAGGAACGATTTTAATTTATTAACAAACGTTGAATATTTATCCTCCTTCCGGATCATGAGTGGAAGCTCGTTGAATATTTTTATTGACATTGAGTAGGGGCTGGAGCTATGCATCTGAAGATGTGACTGTGGCAGAAGCAATTTATTTCTTTGTCTAAAATTGAATTTTTGGGGCATGTCGTCACGATTGGTGTAAAAGTCCGGGTGTTGCTTAACAAACTTACATATTTCAAGTATGTAGATTGAAATTAGAGTCAATATTTTAAATTCTTTGAAGTGAGGTCTGCAGCTTTCGGTACTTTTTATATTGGCAAGGATACGGATACACTTTTTTTTGCATGGTAAATATTTCCAGTGCGTTTACACTTTTTTGACCACCTCGAGAGTAGGATTATACTTCCAAACAATAAAATAATTTTCAAAATCGGTCCACAATTCAAAGAGAAATTGGTAAGTCAGTGTTATCATCATTGCATAAGATTCTGACTTGGTGACAATGGTACCACCACGAAAGTGCACTCTTTCAAACAAAAAAAAAAATTCAAAAGCGGTCTACAATTGACGGAGAAATTTGATGCATACTGCCGAACGTATAACCTCCTCTTTTTTTGAAGTCGGTTAGAAATAGAATCCTGCGCGTAGCGAGCGTTTCAAGCCACGAGACGCAAAACAACTTTGTTGCCGAGCGAAACACACAACTTTTCACCTCACTGTAGCGAGGAAAATGGCAGATGAAAGAAAAACAGTTGAAATAACAAATGAGTTTTAATAGACAAAATTAGTCATCGTTGCCAATTAAATGTCAACAAAAATAGGAATAAAATCGACTCATCCGAAGAATAGAGTAAGATGTGATTCTAAAGCGAAAAGAAAATAATCACGTTTCGAAAATAATTTCGTTATTCAAACTAAGGCCTATGTAAAGGTGTTTTGAGAATATAATAAAATAATAAATAAAAATGTGATGGGGCTTCCGTGGAGGTGTAGTGCATCGGGGATGTTTGCCGAGGTACAGATGGACGGTCTCATGGCCATCATGAGGAAAAGGTGTGCATCTGCGCTAAGGCGCCTCCGTGATAGCTCCAACGGCATCCTGTGTGTGTTTAAAGATCGGTGGGACTCGCCACTCCTGCGTAGGTGGATAGAGCTCCACACTATCTTAAATGTATAAGTAGTCTTTTAAATTATATTAATATTAATACTAACACTAGTTCTTAAGTTGTTTGGTTTACTAACTCTATATGGATTTTATCTCAAATAAATATTTGAATTGAATTGAATTGAATAAGATCGAACAAAGGTCGATCTGACATCCACAGCGAAAAAGAACGAACGAAACGTACTATGTCCTGAGAACAAGCAGTCTTGCACATAGATCTTTGTTCTACGGATGAGTCGAAATATATCAACGGATTTATATTACACAAAATATGTACGTCAAATCGCGTACTTGAACGTGTCATTATGTTTATTTCTTCACGCGCGAAAATTCCGCGGAAGATTTTGGCTTGTATCTAGTTTTTACTTTACACAATTGACCATAAAGTACATTATACAATCGTTACTAAAATTCGCTTCCATTCCGTTCTGTCGCAATATAAATTGAGCCTTATGGACATTTTTTTTATCATTATTCGTCCCGTTACTTGGGATGATAAAAAAAAAATAAAAATATGGACAAATTACTAGGCAAAATGTGATCGACAGAGAAACTTATCCAAATGAAATAATACTGGACGGCATTCTTGAGGATATGCTTGTAAAGTAGATACACCGAGAAGAATCCACACTTACCTCGTACTTTAAAATCCTTGGATTGTCAAAGGTACATATGTCGCACTACGAGGAAAAATCACAGTTAACAACTGAGCACAGTAACTTGTAGCAAAACGTAAATGAAAATGATACATAATATATATTTCTGTACGATTGCAAAAATGCGTAATTACTGCACACAGGTCTATGTCATAAGCAAAACTGTCTTCGTTTGAAATTCTCGTCGTCGGTTGAAATAAAACCGACCGGTAGAAGAGACGGCCTCAGCTGAAGTGCGCAGGCTTAAGTAGGATGGAGATGCAAACTGCAGTATTTGCAACTGCGAAAACCACTTTTTGAAAAAAGTAGTATCTGCTTGAATGCTAAATCCAGCAACATGAATGCTAATTACAAAAATTATCTCTTGCCTTACACGTAATGTTGTTCTCATAGCCCATCTATGTACTTGTAACAACCGCGTATAAAGGTAGTTTCAAATATAAGGCCGCTAAAAATATGAATTAATATTCCCCTCCCCTGCGCAACCTGTCATCCACTCAATTTTTTAAAGTTAAAATAAAAAAATTACTATCTAGAGTTGGAGTTGGAGGAGAATATTTGTTTTTTAATTGCTTGCGGCAATAATGGCAGGCTTTTCTAGTTACTTAGCCTGTTCTAGTATATTGTTAGTAACTGCCGTACTTGTTTTTAGTTATGTGTTAGCATCGGTACTTTCGTGCCATCTCATCCTATAAAAGCGGCTCCAACTAAAAACCAGCCGGTACAACAGTAGAACTGTGACATGTGCTGAGTTAGATCCGTTTCAGCTAATAATTGCAACCAATAATTTATTCTGTACATAGGTCTTCTTCTTTCTTTCAAATTGAACGTGTGTAAAGCTATAGTAACACTAGAAACATTGCCGTTTGTGGAAAAAGTAACATAATAAACATAATTAAAATTCAAATAGCACCATTACATATTGGATTTGCCTTGTGTTTCACTGGCGGAATTCTCCTGCCATATTAAATTGCGCTAATGAAAAATCGTAGATTAATCAAATGTATGGTTTAATCAAAGTTACAAATGAGTGTTTAAATAGACATTAGGTTTTGCTACCTGCAAGGAAATGGTACTTTTTTGTGATAGCAAGCGACAGACGGGGCGAACAAGTCGTCCGACTGGTGGTAATAATATCCATACTTAACAGTTGCAGTGCTTTAAATCACAAAGATCTGAGGACCACTGCCACTGCGCCCATCACGGATGTAGGCATTCATAGTCACGTAGACTGCGAATGCCAATGACGCGAATGACGATAGCGCGAAGACGGTTGCGCGAAAGCATAAACGCGCGATATTTCATCGTCTTCGCGCTATCGTCATTCGCGCTATCGGCATTCGCGCTCACGTAGTAGACCCCACCCTGAGATATGGATGCATGATTTTTCTGCTTTGAATTGATTTTTGGATCGTAATGGATCGTAGACACTTGAATGGATCCAATTACCTACTAAATGGATGGAAAAAAATATGTAAATATTTTTTTGTTGCTTTTCACTGGTGCCAATGCATTATATCTAACTAAACTTTTCAATAATAATGCCATATAAGTTAATGTTCAAAGCTTGATCCTCATCTTTATGTTCCGTTTCTGTACTTGACGAAATCTTTAATAAGATAAGACTTTTGTACAAATTATGAATATACGATTTAGACGATTCGCTTCGCCACAATTTTGAATCTATTAGCTTAAAAATGAACTTGAAATTAATCGAACCAAAAAATCGCTAGATCGTCATTGACTTACAAATAAATGGACGACGGGTCTAATACAAAAACCACGAAAAAAATGTCCCAAGTCAATCTATTTAAACCTCGTGACATGTAAAGGAATATGAAAAAGCTAAAACGTTGAATTTAAATTGTAATGTCATCGCAGTATTGTCTAATTTTGCTTGCTTCGCTGTCAGTCGAACAAACGAAGACTAAAGCGCGAATGACCCTCTGTATACGATTTTAACGCCCTATAAGTTCGGACACTTTTTAGCGCGGACCCGACGTCCATATAATTAATCCATATAATAAATTGTAAGTCAATGTAGATCGTATTCAATTGAATCAAACTTCATAAAAATGGAACGGTAAGTTGACAAATATCTTGTGCCTGGCTACTTGGCGGCAGAAATAGGTTAGATGGCAGTTCTTACCCGGATGAACTCTTTCACAAGGAGCTTTCTAGGACTCCACACCTCGTTAGTAGTCAACGGAGAATAAATTTTGTTTTTGTAATCTTACATCTTATAGCTAATTGATCGTTACTACAGATAGCATTCAATGAACCAAGATAATGATAGGTATTTCATACAAAATGTATATTATGCATTTAATTAGTAGATACAATGTTAGATATGTAAATAAAAACGTGCGTTATTGTTTCTATACGGACAATATCTAACGTATACTCTATACCTCTACCGTCTCACGTCTATTGGACACGAAGGACCTAGTATTTTATGCAATCGTTGCATAATAAGGGCTCTTAAAGTCGAGCACCGCGTTTAGGAACATTTAAAGACTGAAGACCTAATTATGTAATGATTGCTTACAATACTTTTTCTGCGAGTAAATAAAATATTTAATGCATATTCTGCGAAGACAAAGCGATGTATTTGTACCCGCGTCAAAGAACATATAGCTGATGTCAAACACCGTCGCGTAAACAAGTCTGCAGTCTGCGAGCATGTCATGGATAAACCTACACATTTAATGAAGTTTGACAAACCCCAGGTCCTTGCAAAAGAAGTCCGTTATCTACCCAGGATGCTGCGAGAGGCCATTGAAATTAAAAAACATCCTAATTTCAACAGGGAAGATGATTTCTCCGTAACACCAGTTTGGGATCCAGTATTTCCTCTGATGAAAAATCCCAAACAAACATTAGACTGCAGTACTAATTAATATGTTGTAGTTTATTCTAATTTCTATTATTAATTAATAATAAATTAAACTTAATAAAAATTCATTCAATAAAATAATTTGTAAAACTTAATGTAGCGTTAATTGGAATGTTTTCTTTGTAAAATTAAAAATAAGGTATTTAATTAATAACTATTGTAACTATAGTGAAAAAATAGGGTGGTTTGCATTAATATTAGACATAAATGGTTGAAGACTGTACCACCTCAGTCAACCGTGACCATGGGTCCTGTAAAGGGCCCGAAACGTCAGTTTGTTTGAAAAAACAAATATATGCGATTTAAATCCGGAAAAATAGTATCATTTCGTATGTGTAACAATCGCGAAAACCTAAGAACTCGATAATTTTAACCCATCTAAAAGTGGGGTTGACAAAGGTTCCACCATACAACCTCCTTAAAATAATAACACATAGAATGATAGTTTCATATCAAACGAACTGTCACAAGTGAGGCAAAAATTAAATTCATGTAGGCTAGTTTTAGTAGTAGGTTAATTTTCGGTTTTAG